AAAGTACGCTTCCTTTGCAGACAGCTTGTTGTGAAACGGCAGAGAGAAACACTTGAGCAGAAAGTGAGAAAGTGAAGTGCAAATGTGACGCTGTGAATAGTGCGTTTTCTCTGGCACACTATTTTTGACTTCTCCCAGAAGACACAGAAGTTGGGCTTGTGTTTTCAGTTGAACTCTCTTCAGTTTTTATTTAAAAAACACAACAACAAAAAAACCAAACCCATTATCTGCACGGGAAGTGAGTGGGCGTCCAGTGAAATGAAGAACTCAAATCCTACTTGATAAACTGACAGAATAACCAGCTGTGTGTCAGCATCAAATAACAACATAGACGTTACCAGTTTGTCACTGTGAGACTTTAACCGAATAAAAATGACAAAAGCGGCCTTAAAAATGTCTTTCCTGCGTTCTTTGTTCTGTTATGAAACAACTCTGAGAAACTTTAGAGATGGGATGAGAGAGACGACAGAGCGTCAGACACAGAACAAACTTCAATTATTGAGCAGAAACTTTTTTCTCCCATCACTCTGATAATAAAGCCGTGGATACAAAGACTGCAGAAACCAAGCAAAGAAAAGCTTCTTCTTCAGTGCAGATAACTCTAATACTAAAAAAAAACACAGAAATACGACAACAACCAGCCTTGAGGTGGAGATGGATTTGCATTGAACTACACAAACCTGCACACATATTTCTGATTTTAGTGGATCGTTCTCATGTAAATGTGGCCTCAGACTACTTACACTCTATGGATTGCACACAAATGTAATGCCACCCCTGCTCATGTCATCGCCCCAGTCCAGCCAGCAAAGTCAAAAAATGAGTCTGGACTTTCTGTGTTGTGGTAATCCAGGGGAGAGAGACGATTCAATCTTTGTTTGCCCCTTTTGTCTGCTGTTTTCCTCCCTTCTTTTGAAATGTATTGTATAAGGAATTATGTATATGATTTTCCTCTCCTGTATATTTGTGGGCTGTTGTTAAAACCACAACATCTTGTTTTTCCTTTATTGTAAGTGGCAATGTTTAAACATAAATAATAAAAAATTGATCACAAAACAAATAGTCTGGACAGGCCTATGCTTCAGGAGTCAGGATGGGACAAAACAGGAATTCATCACATAAGATAATTTTATCACAGTAAACTGAAACGATGCTCATCACTATTTGTTTATCATGAATCCACTGCGACGACCTGAATATCAGCAGAAACAAATAAAAAAGGGCAGAATTTTTATATAAATTGACAAAAAAAAAAACTGGAACCACAGCAAGAGATGCTGCCTTACCATGGCATGAGGAGGAATATTATTTAAAGCCAGAGGCTGTCAACTGTGTTTGCTGAAACACTCACAGACCAACAATCCAAACAATGGTGTGACTGGAACAACTGATAAGTTCAATCTTTCCACGCAGAAATAATCCTTTTATGGCTGAACCAGGACACCTGAAAGTCTGACAGGACATTTACTGGGTCATTCCTTTTAGACATAAAAAAAAGGAAAGCAGACAGGCAAGAGAAAGGGAGCAGATAGGAGGCAGTGTCAGGGCGGCGCAGTCATGGGCTTCAATAAAAGAGGTCGTGGCTTCCCTGCAGGGAGTTTGTCTCAGGCCCACGCTGTGGCCTGCCTGAGGGCCTATCATCGTCTGCAGCATCCATTCAACAAACCACTGCACACTCTGACACACACACACACATACAGTACACACTCTTGATATGTGACATCTGTCTGGGGGAAAGGGGTGAAAACCCTCACAGAGTTTAGTGTGTAGAAATGAGACATTTCCTCAAAACATCTGAAATCTTCCTGAGTGTCTCTTTGACATACGTCCTTCCAAGCGGCAAAATCTTTCCTGCCGGTTGGGAGGAGAGGTCTCAGTAGGCGAGATGTAACGTTTAAAAGGACACTGCCTGAGTCAAAGATGGAGGATGACATGACAGAATATGACATTATAATGACTAGGTGCCGTGACAATGTGCTTTTATGCGATTTTATCACGATCTTTTGGTGCCAACTCAATTTGTATTGTGATGGAACGAGAATTGCAATTGTGTAGTAACGATTATTGTGGGGTTCTGTTTTTCTGTAAACAGATGACATCACCATTATCCATCTCAGGAATCACATTGTAACTTGGCTTGAAAACGTCATTTGTTTTCTTCCTTTCACAGGAACTCCTTGGTGATATTTTTGGCTTCTTAACACACTCAATGTCACATCCCCTCCCCCGCTCACTTATGGTGAATTTTCCTTGAATGTTTCTTGTTTTTTTTAACATCGCTCTCTTAAGTTGATAATTTCAGCAAGTCTTCTCTCCTGTCTGTAAGCAACGTGCACTAATTTCAAAAAGTGAAGACATCACAAAAAATGGCCGAACTTTCACATGAATCAGTGATATCGCAGCATTCATTAGTGACTGTGTAAACTGCTGTTCCAGATGGGTTAGGTATTTAAGTGTTCAGCTGTGTTTACAGTGAGCGCCTGCCTGCAGCCCACAGGACGGATGTGAACTTGATGATCCAGGCCGAGTCTAAGACAGTCCCTTCATTCAGTGAGCGCTTAGAGGATACAGGGTGAACCATATGACAACTCCCTCCATCCACACACACTCTCACAACTCCTGACTCTTTTTCTGAATCGAATTCATACAGACAGCTCTTCGAGGAAATTACTGAAAAATGTTTCCCCTGGCTGTTCCTAACAAACTTAAATGAGATAATAAGTGACGCTTGTGCAATAACCCTGAGGTCTAATCAGCATCTTGATATACCACGTCTGTCAAATAGATAACATATAGTAATAAGAATATATGGAACCTAATTGTGCAATAACATGTTCATCCTTATGTGCACTGTGTCTTTTTTTCTAATTACTGAATACACAGACTACATCTTTAGCCCCTTTTCATCGAGCGGTTCAGTTTGCCCCCTTTTGACGAACCCATAACTCGCCATTTTTAAATATCCAGTCGACTTCGCGAAGATTACTGTCAAGGCTATTGTATTATTTATGTTAGAAAATGTCAGCTGGAAGCACTGTGCCATGGACGACCGCGGAGGTGCAGACCTTCCTCGGCATAATCGGGTTAGGGTTAGTGTTGCAACTGCAGCTCTGCTGTTGGCTCTTTAACTATTTAATCTATATCTTTTACATGTTTTATTTTATTGAATTGTGCACTGCCTGTTTTCTTTAGTTGTCTATCCTGCTCTTTGCTGCTGTAACACTGTAAATGTCTCTGTTGTGAGATGAGTATAGGATTATCTTATTTCATCTTATCTTAGATGGATTATCTATTTATGAGTTTGTTAAAACAGACAAAATGAGCCTCGTCCCCATGTCTTCAGGTAGCTTATATCAGGTTTCTATCCATCTGAAAAGACATGCACTTCCTTGCGTTGGACACTAGGAGGCTTCATTCACATATTAACAGACAACAGTCACACAATAGGCTAATTGGAAACAAGGTGTCAGTGTGTAAAGGCCTAATTTAGTTGTTTTCATGCACCTCAGTTAGGCCGACTGTTTCATAGTAGTAACCATTAACTGTAACTATTTGGTCATTTACAGTAACTAACACATCTCTGCTCGTGTCATGACACAGCAAAGTCAAAGGGACAACTTCTCCCAGTTGTTCCTCCCGGTTGTTCCTCCAACTTGAAAGTGCCTTCATGGAAATTTTTTCTCAGTCGGACACTCATTTTTCCGATTATTACGACACCACTTGAATGCATGGTGATGCTGCGTTTGGGACTGTAAATATTCGGTTTGAACCGATGTCGTCCCCGTCCGGACTCCGACGACCTCTGACATAAACTGACACCCCGACTTTAAACCCCACAAACAAACCTAGACACAGAAACACACCGACACTCACAAATACACCCAGATATAAAAAACACACAGTGTGACGTTCACTTACGCTCTTGGTCTGGGGAAGCCCATGGATAGAAGCACATCCAGGCTGGAGGATCCACATTTCACTGAGCCTGGCCGGTTCTGCCGTAGCCTCCGAGGGATAATTTTACTGTAGAGGTCCTCTTTGGCAGCCATGGTCCACTGGGTCACCCAGTCAGCTACAAGCCGGATACAGTCCACCTCCACCACACACCATGAGATACGGCTGGGTCCGCACGACTGGAGAGGTAACGGCACCTACACGGAGCGGAGCTGAGACTCCGCCCACCGGAGGGGACAGCCAATGAGATCTGCTCACTGAAGAAATACGGCAGCTAGAATTCAACACAGTAGTGCACTAGAGCAGAATATGTGTGGTGTGGTGTGGGGGGGGGGGAGGTAGGCTTAGTGGATGTGATGTATATAATTTTACACAGCTTGAGATGTGATAGGCTACAAGCCACGCTGTTTTAATATTTAAAGCACATGGCCGGCTCTAGCTTTTTTGGTAGACCAATGATTAAACTCAGGACCCCCAGAGCCCCCTCAGGGTGCCTGAGTTTGGGAATCACCACTGTCTCTGGAGGTGGTCAGCATACAACATAACCACACCCTAGCATTTACAGGTCTACCTAAACACTGGTAACCCAAAAGAATACAACATTTATTTTATAATGTGTCGTAAGAAAGGCTAAAAGAGATTACAAGTCATTTCAATATACAGACTTCAGCACTGAGTGGACATACAATAGACACTAATAACTGTACCTCCTCTTGCTGGATTAGACCAGATTAAGGTCAGTATTTGATGCATTTATACAACAGAAATATTCAACATGTAATTTATTAATCAGTAAATTGGTGTCACCAGCTCTGTGTAAGCACAAACGTAGCCTAGTTTGAACAACATTTCTGGTTTAGGACAGAGTGTATGCCTTACAAACATTAAAGGTGTGGCCTTATAGACTCACTATAGGTCTGGTTAATGGGCCTTCTCTCCCCGCTCTACCACCCAGATGTAAACAGACTGACTGACAGCTGCTTACTCTCAGGATGAAGAGACATTTAGGAACATGTTGCATAATAGTAAACACAAAGAGACAAGGGTAGCATATCATTTTTATATTAAAATTAAAATTCATCATACAAAGATTACAACAAGATAATTTATTTTAGGACAAATCTAATGCTTGATATAATATCTTTTAAACATTGTATAACTTTTTTAGGAGTCAAACTGGAAATTAAATAAGATCCCACTGTGACATATGGAGAATAAATGGCTTTGGTAAGTTTTTCTTATATTAATGTTTTTTTTTTTAATCAAAAGTTTGATTTTTAAAAAATCTATAAAAATAAAAATATTTTATTCAAAGCAAATACACAACTGAGTATTAGGGCCACATAGAGAGATTTTAAGATTAAAGTCTTAATGATACAAGTTGTACATTTATGAGAAGAAATTTGTAATTCACAGGGAAAAAGTCGAAAGATAAGAAAGTCTTAATATTACAGGATTAAAGAAGTAAATTCACAAGATTGTCATAAATAACCAAGATTAAAATGGAAAATTTATGAGAAGAAAGTCATGAGACTTAAGTTGTTATTCTACAAGATTAAAGTCATAAATTCACAAGATTGTCAGAAATGAACAAGATTTATGTTGTCCTCATTTGAGCGCTTTTCTGAAATGACCTTTCAAAGTAACACCTATAACCATAGATTTAAATAACAACTTTAATCTTGCAAATTTACATCTTACATTTTATAAACAAAAGACTTTAATCATTCCAAAATATGACTGAAATGAATTGAAATGACCCTAATACATCGTTATACAAACAGGATTACATTAAAATTATTACTATACATTCACTTGTTAAAAAACAACATTTTTATATTATGTATCATAAATTGTACAAAACTGGATAATTATTAAACGTCCTATGATCATTAAAGTCCTGAATCTCTTTTGATTTTAAACTAATTGAAATGTGTAGTCTGACCCCATTTTTTAGAGCTCACATTATTTGTTCAGTCTGGTTCATTTTCATTTTAACTACCACCAAAGAGGAATGAATTTTCCAGCTAATCAGATTTTTTTCATGCCTTCATGTGACTGATCACTTTGTTACGGATAATTCTCATGGTTTGGCACGTGGAGTCTTTGAGAGCGACTGTCTGTCGTACTCCTGATGGCCATGAGTTGTAGCCTACTTTAGCAGCCTGACGGAGTCCCGGGGAGATGTGAGTCAGTGTTGGCCGCTCGTCGCGCTGGCAGATGGGACGTACGGTGTGATGACACAGAAGACACAGCCTGCCTCCTGGAAAGCTTGCCTCATCTCCACCTAGTTGGAAAAAAGACAAACTGCATCAGACGGTGGGCTCGGAATCACATGTTCAGAGTTTACAAATCTGAAGAGAATTATCACAAACAGCACAGATCTGACGACTTTGATCAGTGTCTCATCATGTCAGAAATAAATAAGCAAAAGAGTATGCTATGCTATCCTGCAGGTGAGCACACACATAAACAGAAAAGGAGCTTAAGGCTCCTGATGTTGTTTCCTGATGTTTTGCCCTCTGTAGAGAAAGTTCCCCTTTTAGAATAGGTGATTTACTTTCTGCACAGCCTGGCCTGCACAGCAGATATGTTTGGTGAAATAAGAATATCAGGTCAGGAGATGTGATCAGTGCAGTCTTACCAATCTGGCATTATCCAGGCACAGACCCACCACAGCGCCCCCACTGCCGGGTAACTTCACCGCCGAGCCAAACTGCAGGAAGCACCAAAAACTTCATGAGCGCACAAACAGAAAAAACACATGCAAGGTACACCCCAAGTCTCTAAAACAGCTTCCTTCAACTGCATCCCTCTCTCGCAAGAGATCATTTGGACCACCGCCGTCCTCATTCATGCACGGCCTGCTCCGACCTCCACCTCAGCGGCGAGGAAGTGTGGACAACAGGAACGCGAGGAATACAAAAGAGGAATCCATCCTGCATATTATCCCATATTTTCTTTTGTAAACCGTATCAAGATAACACTTAAGTTATGAATTGGCGCGATGCAAATAATGATTGATTCTGTTGAATAAAGTTTATTTTGTACCATGGTTAAAGATGGCAGGTCCAGTCTGCTTCTGTTCAAAGTGAGGATGGAGGACTGAGGAAAATATCAAATTAGAGACTTGGGATGTTCCCACAGATGAAGAGTGGATCCTGCTAAATAAAACGTGTCCTGCTGTTAGCAGGTAGAAGAGACTTTGTGCACCTACCTTCCTCGCCAGCTGAGCCATCTTGAGGTTTCCAGGACCCAGACAGTCGTCAGTGTAGACAGTCCTGTGTGACATGTGACATTACATTAGCTGTGAGAGTCACAGGGATGTGCATTTCAAGACAACAAACATAATATTTAAAAGTCCCTGGGATCTATTCGAAGATTATTTGTGTTTCTGGTTAGACTTCACCGTGTTTACATCAGGTGTGAAAAAAAATAAAAAATAAAAATAAAAACTACACCCCATCTGTGTGGCCACAACGCCGGTAACAAGCAACAGATCGAATCAATCATTGGAGGATGAAGAGTGTGCTGTTTTACCGCCGCAGCTCAAAGTTCTGGTCCATCAGCTGTGCCAGGTGGCTCCAGTCTTTGTCCTGTAGAGCCGTCCTGAGGGGGGGGACATTTTGGGTCAGTGTGATGGTAACTGCTCTTAGTTGCTAAACTTCTTAAACACCACATAAAAGAGAAAACTCTGTATGGTTTTCAACAGCTAATAAACTCTTTTACATGGTTTGTCTATGAACCATTGACCGAATGTCAAGAGTGGAAACACAGACAGTACGGCAACATCTGTGGACTCTTATTTAGAGGGAGTGAGTGTGGTATTTTGGCCGTCGCTGTCTTGTTTGTTTTGGAACCAGAAGTGACCTTATTTGGACCCAGAGATGGGACTCGAGTTTCAGACCATAAGAGACTTGATATAGTTTATATTACGTTTGTTCTGATATCAGAATGAACATAACCGTAACCTCCTTGAGTGTCTTCATGTCTGTAGTTCACATCCCACACACATCTGGTAGTTGTACACAGTCCAGAGTGCTCTGGTGTGCCCTCTAGAGGTGTCCTCCAGTAACACATGTTGTGTATAGTCCAGTATACTATTATGTTCATGATGCAGCCGATTGTGTAAGCGAATGAAAGGTGAAACAGCAGAAATATCTCCAACCTTGGACTGTGGTGCAAATACTACACATGAAACCTCTGATCTAATGCGTTATCTGAAGTGAAGTATTGACCACTTTACACCTTAAAGAGGACATATTATCCCCCCTTTTCCACCTTTTCAAACAGTCCCCTGTGGTCTAAATGAAACATCTGTGCTGTGCTTTGGTCAAAATATAACATGAATCAAGCACCAGAGGAGGTTTGTGACCCTGTATAAACCAGCTCTCTCAGAACGCTCCGTTTTGGTGTGTGTGTCTCTTTAAATGCAATGACCCCCCCCCGAGTTTTCCCCATAGACATCACTCCTCTGTAGGGAGAATAAAAATGATGGACCTGCGCAAAAATTTTGCTCTTGTCTGCAGGTGGAGTCCATGGGTGGAGATACCAGGGGAGGGGAGGGGAGGGGATTTTTTTTACCATTATTCCACTGTGACATCACAAGGAGAGCAAATTTGAAACTGAGTATTTTTCTCTGTGTTGTAAGACTTATGCAGACCACAAACAAAGGACGTGATCGATGTATTTCACATTGGGTTACCCAAATATATGTTCAAAAACACTGTAGAAGTGGATTTTTCACAATATGTCCCCTTTAAAGAAATTCAACCAACCTTGCTTGATCTGTGAGCTCTGCAAAGGTCTTCATGGCTTCAACTACCAGAGGCTCTCCTGTGGGGCGACAGAGCAACATCAACCAAAGAACCATCCTGTCACCATTTAAAGCTCCTTTGAGGACTTTTTAGCTGCTTATAAAACACACTGAAATTAAAACTGAAGCCTTTATGTGAGATACAAATGCAAACCAGAACATCAGTATTAAGGCTGACAATTTCAATTAAGTTTATTTGATGCCTGAAATCCCAGCTGTGGTGTTGGTGTCACACTAAGTAAATTGCAGCTCGTTTGACGACAAAGCATCTGCTGTTAACATTTTCCAAAGCAAAGATTCACAGTGAGGGATTTGTTAAAAGCACGACTGACACGTCTACGGGACATAATGTGCAAAGAAAAAAGAAGTACCGTTATATGGAGTCTGATATGATAGGGTAATCCAATCGAATTTTTTTGCGGCTAAAACTTGAATTTTGTGTCGTTTAAAACTTTGAAGTAGATGTTGATAATTTCAATCCCAAAAAATCTGGATCATCCTGATCCCAGCAGAGAGCTGGAATCAGGCTGGATTTCAGGATTAAATTGTCATACATTTTTTAATGAGGTCATAATAGTTATGAAATGATGTTGATATTCAGACATTTTTTATGTCTTGCTCTATTGCTGTAGTAAGATAGTAGATACAGCCGACATGAGGGTTTTAAACAATTAAGGATTTATTCCCTATAAAATATTTCACCAAAAAGCTTCTATAGCATATCTGAAAGATTTTAGTAAAAGCAACTGTCAGGAGCTCTTATTTTGTGTGGATGGCAGTACATCCCCAGTTTTTAAAGACATTTAGGATACTCTGGACCAAAGGCACCACATGAAGCCACTGTAATGTCAACACTTTTTTTTTTTTTATATTCAGGTCTAATTACAGATTTTTTTCCTCAACTGTTTATAGGTTCTTGTTTAAATTTCACATATATTTTTATCCCTGCACGGGTTATGTACATTTCTTGTATAAGTCTATTTTTAATTGCACAGTTTAAGTTTGTTTCATCTAGGGGTATTCTTTAAATCTTTTTTTTCAGGTTAATATATATGTATGAGGGGGGGGTGTCTGTTTTGTAGTTAATTAACAAATGTTTCATGTCATGTACGTCTTTGTAACCTGCTACTGGATGCTTTGAATTTCCCTCTGGATCAATAAAGTATCTATCTATCTATCTATCTATCTATCTATCGTTTGAAAGGAAGACGTACCACTGAGCCAGCGCTGTCGGATGTTGCTGTGGATACGTCCGGAGTCACTAGGGTCGCTCAGGTAAGCCAGCCAGAAGGGTGGGAGCTCACTCATGTCCATTAAAACATAGTCTCCTGAAGATGTGAAACACACAGACACATGTTAAAGATTTGTATTTGTAAATCTGCTCAGCAGCTACAGAATGATGCTGACTTCAGTACCATATCCCTGCTCCTCCATGAGCTTCTTGCTGAAATCCATGTAGACTAAGCCTTCATAGACCTGCAGAAAGAGGCAAACACCTGCTGCTACTTCATCGATGACAAGTGTCACTTCATGCAGTGTGGACAGAGTGCAGAAAGTCTCACCTGTACGACTCTGTCCTGCAGGCCAGCCGTGATGAAAAGTTCATCCGTCTCCACGTTGAGGATGAAGTTGGCTCGGATTGGCTTCGGGAGATCCTGCAGAGTGAATCCCAAAATATAAATGAACACATTCTTAACTCTGGAGATAAGAGGCTCTGTGCCATGAGATAAGATGTCTGAGGTTTTGATTACAACAAATTGACAAGGGAGTGAAAAACCTGATTACATCGATACAAAGGTATACACAATGCTTACGTTTTCTGTTATGTTGTAGAATTTCATAAGACACTTCAGGGTGGCCGAGACGATGGCACTGTAAAAAGAAAAGAAAAAAAAAGAGGGTTGTTAACAAGTCAATTTCTATGCAAATGTTTACCAAACAACTAAACGTGCTTTTACTGTGAAAAATAAACATCATAAAACACTTTGTTTACCTGCTTCCTGCGAGGCCCTTTAAGAAAACAGAGACAAATAACTCTGTCAATAGAGTTTGTTACTTACGGTAAGAAGACTGTGGTTTATGTTCATAGGAGGGACCAGTGTTTGAGTAGATACTCACCACTTGCCGAGGAATGTTGGTGTCGTACTTCAGAGTGAAGTTCTGCTTTGTCAGAGCAATACTACAGGAAACACACACACACACACACACACACACACACACACACACACACACACACACACACACACACACAAGTTGAAACATAGTGAAATCTGCTCCTGTAACAGGAGTAGTGTAGTGTGAAATAAAACTTGGATCATGAAGCCTGGTGTTCCATTACAGTTTTATGGATTATCAGTGAAATATAAGGACTTCATTGCAGACTATTTTGTCGCTTTAACGTGAAAAAACAGACAGGGGATCAGTGTCACAAGAACAAATATCCATGTTAACGAAACATCTTTTTAGTTTTAATGGGCAAGACTTTTAATTTCCTTTTTGTTTGTTTTCCGGGGTGCCAGCCAGGCTGTCCCTGGCAAAAGTCATTTTGTTTGTTATTTAAAGTCACCACACTTATTGTAAAAAGAAACAACACAAAGGATGTAAAAGTATTAAACTAAACCACCTAAAAAATAAGAATTAGACAGAAAACTGCCACACAGGTTCACTTCAATAAATTATGCTTGTATTAGGTATTAGAAAACAGAAAACAAACCCAACAACACAAAAAAATGTATTACCAGCAAAATATTTTCAGTTTCTCTCTCTTCCAGTGGTAAAACACAAAAATTATCGTTCTTCAGGCCCTTAATGTTCAGTTCAAAAAAAGTTTCATCAAGAAAACCCATAAACTCAGGTCACTGACCGGTCAAGTCTTATTTTATGCATCATAACGGGACAATAGGACTTTAAAATAGTCACTTCAGAAGGTAGTGAACATCTAAACCACCCAGAAACTGAGGCTCCTTTAGTTGCACATAGACAGATGTTCATTGTCTTTAATTCTCAGGCAGCAATGGATGAATAAACATACGCTCATGAACTCAAGATGGGGTTTCCAGAAATGTCTACCTAATAGTGTTCAAATGTAAAGTGTGAGTGGTGTTTGCGTCCATGATGCTGCATAACATAACGTCTCCTATTGCGTAGTGGTGAGCGCAATAAACTGGAGACGATAATGTAATTTAGCCTTGACAACGTTGAATTTGGATGAATGTCAGAGTTCATATCGTTAACGAAAAACTATGAAGATAAATGTTCATCAAAATCCGCTTTTCCATGACAATCACAAGACGCTGACGATCTGAAACAGATCTTGATGATAAAAAACTCAGACTAGTTGCCTCCTACCTGGCTTTGGCTGCTCCAAAGACAATTCTTTACCTGATCGCTTGCAGTTAGGTCGAGGTCGGTGGATGTTTTTACTACAAACAAACTGCACCAGTGTCAGAAAAAAAGCGGATAGAGACCCAACGGTTCAAATGGTCTCTGTTGTTTGGATTGACAGCGGACTCAAGTTTGTTTTGACCGAACTGGTTAGGTGTGAAATTGGCCGATGTTTCAGATATCTTGAATTCAATTTTTGCTCCCAAGAATGTTGCTGTGAATATCTATAATTTTTACCAGTGAGTAATACTGTTTTGGACTGGGAGACATGCTGCAGTAGATATCTTTAACATAGAGTGTGGGTAGATTTAATGATAAAACAGACTGCCATGGATGCTCCTCTCACCCTTGTTTGGAGCAGAACTGGTAGAACTTCTTACAGGTAGCCTGCAGCAGCCGCAGACCGCCCAGGTATCTACAGTGGACAAGGAACAGAACTTTATTAAAAAAAAAACATGAAAACTCAACACTGTGTCTTGTGTTTCAGCTCATGTCGCCTCGTGTACACACCCTTCCTTTCTGCTGATACAGAATAGATCCTGTAGGCTTCCAAACTCTGTCGGGTCATTAAGAGGATGAGGGACCAAAACCTGCAAAGTCACAGAAATAGTCAGGTGACTTTTTCACAGTGTATTCCCTGATGAAGGAGCTTCATCTTAAAAAAGTGTGTTACCAAAGTCTGGCTCTCCACTAGAGTGACCTCAGCCCAGAAGTTAGAGATTGACATGGCGATGGTTTTTCCATTGAAGCCATCTGAGGGATTCCCCATAAGTCCAACCCTGTGAGTCATCACATGTTTGAAAATCACTTCTTTCAGTATCCAACAGGCTCTGTGCTGACAAATCCACTGCTCTTTATTTAAAGAAATAGAGGAGGGAAAGGGTAACCTGCGGGAGTGAGGTCAAGTCTGTGTTTTCTTACCGGGCGAATGATCGGCATGTGATTGGTTTAGCAGGATTGTCTTGCTGCTTGGTGGAGTAGTGTGTGAGCCACTTTGTGTAGTCTGACAAACCCTGAGATGTCAAGAGGAGGCAAATGATCAGAAGCAACACAGAAAAAACGACTTAGGAGTGCTTAGATATGAACTCTTTGTTTACAGGGACAGAGCTGCATTTTTGAAGTGGGATTATATGAAGAACTTGTCAATAGTAATTCTATTATTCACAGGAGATTTCGCTCAGTTCAGACCCTTTAAGGAGAAGCCAGTCAATGTCTGCACAGAAGCATGATACATCGCTGCAGATGGAGCCATTCATACCAGGTTAGTTAGCTAATTTTAAGAAAAAAAACAACCTGACAATGAATGACGATGAAAAGGTATGCTATATTTAGAAATGTAAGTGCTTTAATGTCAGTAAGCCAATTCATTTCAGCACACATGTTCTTCCTGAACCTGATCATGTTAGAGGACTGCAATGCTAGATCAAATTCATCGTGTGCCATGCTACAATAAATCCAAGGTCTTCTCCTCTGCTTATATCCGTTCTAATCAGTGATTCTGAAAGCAATGAAAAACAGAAAAACAATCTAAAGGTTAGGATACAAACCACTTGTCCAATGAGCTGGAAGCCGGTGGGGAGCTTCATCCCAAACACGTCCAGTTGTTTCTCATTAATGAGCCACTCCTGAAAAGACAAGATCCATTAAAGTGATGAGTGAGTGAGTGAGTGAGTGAGTGAGTAAGTGAGAGAGTGAGTGAGTGAGTGAGTAAGTGAGAGAGTGAGAGAGTGAGTGTGTGAATAAGTGTGTGTGTGTGTGTGTGTGTGTGTGTGTGTGTGTGTGTGTGTGTGTGTGTGTGTGTGTGAGAGTGAGTGAGTGACTAAGTGAGTAAGTGAGAGAGTGAGTGAGAGATTGGGAGAGTGAGAGAGAGAGTGAGTTAGTGAGAGAGAGTGAGTGAGTGAGAGAGAGAGAGAAATGAGTGAGGGAGTGAGTGAGAGAGAGAGAGAGAGAAAGTGAGTGAGAGAGTTAGTGAGAGAGTGAGTGAGTGAGAGAGAGAGTGAGTTAGTGAGAGAGAGAGAGAGAGTGAGTGAGAGTGAGTGAGTGAGTTAGTGAGAGAGAGAGAGTGAGTGAGAGAGTTAGTGAGAGAGAGAGTGAGAGAGAGAGAAAGTGAGTGAGGGAGTGAGTGAGAGAGAGAGAGAGAGAAAGTGAGTGAGAGAGTTAGTGAGAGAGTGAGTGAGAGAGTGAGAGAGAGAGAGAGAGAAAGTGAGTGAGTGAGTGAGTGAGTGAGTGAATGAGTGAGAGAGGGAGTGAGTAAGTGAGAGAGTGAGAGAGGGAGTGAGTAAGTGAGAGAGCGAGAGAGGGAGTGAGTGAGTGAGTGAGTGTGTGAATGAGTGAGGGAGTGAGTGAGAGAGAGAGAGAGAGAGAGAGAGAGAGAGAGAGTGAGGGAGAGAGTGAGTGAGAGAGTGAGTGAGTGAGTGAGTGAGTGAGTGAGTGAGTGAGTGAGTGAGTGAGAGTGAGTTAGTGAGAGAGAGAGAGAGTGAGTGAGAGTGAGTGAGTGAGTTAGTGGAGAGAGAGAGTGAGTGAGATAGTTAGTGAGAGAGTGAGTGAGAGAGAGAGAAAGTGAGTGAGGGAGGTGAGTGAGAGAGAGAGAGAAAGTGAGTGAGAGAGTTAGTGAGAGAGTGAGTGAGTGAGTGAGTGTGAGAGAGAGAGAGAGAAGAAAGTGAGTGAGTAAGTGAGAGAGTGAGAGAGGGAGTGAGTAAGTGAGAGAGTGAGTAGTAAGCGAGAGAGGGAGTGAGTAAGTGAGAGAGTGAGAGAGGGAGTGAGTGAGTGAGTGTGGTGTGTGAATGAGTGTGTGTGTTGTGAATGAGTGAGAGAGTGAGTGAGAGAGTGAGAGAGTAAGTGAGAGAGTAAGAGAGTGAGAGAGGGAGTGAGTAAGTGAGTGAGTAAGTGAGAGAGGGAGTGAGTGAGTGTGTGAATGAGTGTGTGTGTGTGTGTGTGTGTGTGTGTGTGTGAGTAAGTGAGAGAGAGAGTGAGTGAGAGAGTGAATGAGAGAGTGAGTGAGTGAGAGAGTGAGAGAGGGAGTGAGTAAGTGAGAGAGGGAGTGAGTGAGAGAGTGAATGAGAGAGTGAGTGAGTGTGTGAATGAGTGTGTGTGTGTGTGTGTGTGTGTGTGTGTAGAGTGAGTAAGTGAGAGAGAGAGTGAGTGAGAGAGTGAATGAGAGAGTGAGTGAGTGAGAGAGTGAATGAGAGAGAGTGAGTGAGTGAGTGAGTGAGTGAGTGAGTGAGAGAGAGAGAAGTGAGTGAGTGAGTGAGTGAGAGAGAGAGAAAGTGAGTGAGTGAGTGAGTGAGTGAGTGAGTGAGTGAGTGTGTGTGTGTGTGTGAGTAAGTGAGAGAGAGAGTGAGTGAGAGAGTGAATGAGAGAGTGAGTGAGTGAGAGAGTGAGAGAGGAGGTGAGTAAGTGAGAGAGGGAGTGAGTGAGAGAGTGAATGAGAGAGTGAGTGAGTGTGTGAATGGTGTGTGGGTGTGTGTGTGTGTGGTGTGTGTGTGTGAGAGTGAGTAAGATGAGAGAGAGAGTGAGTGAGAGAGTGAATGAGAGAGTGAGTGAGTGAGAATGAGTGAATGAGAGAGAGAGTGAGTGAGTGAGTGAGTGAGTGAGAGAGAGAGAAAGTGAGTGAGTGAGTGAGTGAAGAGAGAGAAAGTG